ATATGCAAAGACGTTGCAGAAAGGTGGTAACAGAACTCCTCAATACCAACCGCATTCCCCAAAGGCTAACTCTAGACTGCAGGCTTCTTTCAGAATAAGCTTTTTTTTTTTCAGACGAGATCTTCCGAAAAAACTTCTTCGGAAGTGTGGAGAGCGTCCACACTGCAAAAGTGCATCAAAAAAGCAATCTGCTTTTTTGAAAGAAAGCATCCAGACTGAATGGATGCTCTCTCGCATGTAAGCTGTAATTGCTATCGACAAAATTGCCACCAGAACACCTGTGCTTTTTCCCCTTTCCTCTTCTTCCAAAAGAACTCCCTCTTCCCCGTCCACACACGCCTTTTGCAAAAGAGCTCTTTAGCAAATAGGCTTCTTCCTCATAGAATTAGGATTACCAATGCAGGAAAAAACCCTCTGTTCTTTCAATTTTCTTGTGGAAGAATGCAACTGCAGTGTGTATGTTCCTCAAGTTTTGTCGGAAAAACGGCCAATTTTCCAACAAAACTCTGTAGTGTAGACATAGAGGGTGTGTCTAGACTACAGGGTTTTGTTGACAAAAGTGGACTTTTGTTGACAAAACTATACTTGCGTCCACACTACCTTTGAGTTATGTCGACATAACGTTGACAAAAGTCAGCAGTTTTGTCGACGTATGTAAACCTCATTCTACGAGGAATAACGCCTTTTGTCGACAGAGTTCTGTCAATAGAAGGCATTACTGCATCTACACTGTCCTTTGCGTCCACACTGTTATGTCGACAAAGCGGCTTGCTTTGTCGACAGAACTGGATGTAGTCTAGATGCTCTATGTCGACAGAAGTTTTGTCAACAGATTCTGTCGACAAAACTTATGTCGACGTAAGCCTGTAGTCTAGACATACCCAAAGAGAAGAGGGACATGCTGACCCATTTTAAGAATAAGATCAGGATTAGATCATGATGGACAGAGATATTTTGATTGTACTAACATCTAACATGTACAAAATAACAGGCTGCCCCTGTATACATGGATGAGTGGAAAGCTACTATGTCAGAGTGTGGCACCCTGATAAGTCAGGAGTAATATCTGATGCATTTGCATGTGTATAAATATGTATCTAAGAGTCAATGTATCTTTGGCTGGCCTACTGAAAGTCCCACCATTCACTGAGGTGGGCCATAAGAATGGGCACACAGGTGTGACTGTATCTGTAACCAGGGGCCAGTTGATGTTTCTGCTTTCCTCTTTCTCCTCATTTCCTGTTGTGTTCATTCCGTAGTCCCTCCTGTGTTCAGCATCCTCTCTGGCAGCCTCTCTCTCAATGTGCAAAATATGTTGCCACATTTCTTTTGTTTTTCTACAGCCTGCAACTGAATAACTCCAATGTCGCACCATTTTCACTGTTTTCAGTCATCTTGCTGCCTTTCTGTCCCTACGGCCCCTTCAAGCAAACGGAAAACAGAACAACCCGGGTAACCCCTTTGACAGCTCTCCAGCCTCCACATATAGCCTCACTTAAAATCCCCACCTCAGTGTAGGAACTGCAAATCTCCCACAGACCATCAGGCTGTGCATTTTACCCTGGTCCCAGTGCCACTGAAATGGACTTTCCTGAGGCGCAACCTAGAAAGAGGGTAACACTAAACCCCCTGGCCTCCTCTCAAACTGTGAGGCTGTGACAAATTGCAGTCCCCTCCTGGTCCTGCACTAACACAAACATTTTCTGGCAGGACAAACCCAGCTGAGTTTCATGAATATTTCCTACCACCATTCCTGGACTAACCATAGTCTCCGGCCAATTTCCCCCATCTCCCCATCCTAAGACCCTGGCCCTGGCCAGAAGCTAGGGTTACATAATACACGTACCTTAGGAGCTTCAGGGGTAGCCGAGTTCGTCTGTTACAGAAAAAACAGCATATGGTCTGGTAGCACTTTATAGACTAATGAAACATGTAGATGGGATCATGAGCTTTCATGGGCATAGCCCACTTCTTCAGATGACCGGAGTTATGAGTTGGGGATATGAAAACTCGAAATAAATAGGAGAGGGGAGAGAAAGAAAAAGGGAGGGGGTGGGAGACAGAGCCCCGCCATCTTTCACTTGCTCTCATCCACCCTCACTTGCTCATTTTCACTGGGCTTGGGAGGGACCTTTTTGTTGCTTCTGCCAGAAGCCTGAGCAGTGTAGGTTTATAACTTGCTCTGCCCCTCCCTCAATATGGAGGGGACTGTGCACCAGGCTCTGTTCCTGAGCCGTTTTCCCTTTACACTGCAAACAGCACCGTGTTTTAGATAAAAAATACAAACCAGATTGACAAGGTACCGAAGCTAGATTTTAAATAATTCCACGTAATAAATGTACAGTTTAAATAGATTGCCTTAGATACTGAATGAAATCACAACCTGAGTTCTATAAACTAGAATCATAGAATCATAGAACACTAGAACTGGAAGAGACCTTGAGAGGTCATCGAGTCCAGTCCCCTGCCCTCAGAACAGGACCAAGTACCATCTAGACCATCCCTGATAGATGTCTTATCTAATCTGCTCTTAGATATCTCCAGAAGTGGAGATTTCACAACCTCCCTAGGCAACTTATTCCAGTATTTAACCACCCTGACAGTTAGGAAGTTTTTCCTAATGTCCAACCTAAACCTCCTAATCCTTGCTGCAATTTAAGCCCGTTGCTTCTTGTCCTATCCTCAGAGGCCAAGGAGAACAATTTTTTCCCTCCTCTCTGTGACACCCTTTTAGATATTGCAAAATCCAGCAAATAGGCAGGATTTGAATCAAGCAGTGCCTGGACACTGATGTTACAAACAGTTCACCAATGTTTCATACATGGGCAGCGTCTGCTCCTTTTCAGCCTGGTTCCACCCCCCAAGTCAATGTCATCGTCCCCCCAGCTAGGTTTTCAGGTGTTTAGTTGTAGGAAGAGTGAGACCAAGTGTGGATGTCACTTCTCCATTTTATAGCTTCTTTCATGTGGAGGGAACTGCATTGTCGCAAACAAAGCCCTCGCCAGAGTAAATGGAAAAGTACACACAGAAGATGGACTCCAGCGTCACATGAGCTGGTCACATGTCATGGTATGCTTCCATGAGTCATAGCAGGGGTCCTTACCCATGTTCTAGCTAGAACGTCCTCAGGAAAGTCCATTTGGGGGGAAGGGGATGAGCTTCTTGTGATAGCAGGGGTCCTTACCCATGTTCTAGCTAGAATGTCTTCAGGAAAGTCCATTTGGGGGGGAAGGGGATGAGCTTCTTGTGTTAATTGACTGGACCTCAAATGGAATAGTCCATAATGTTCCAGCTAGACTTGATGTAAACTATTCTGTGGCAGTTACCACAGGAACAAACACATTTGCAGCACAAGCACATAGTCAATATTTGAAACTTCACATACAAAAATGAGACATGCTTACAAGCAGAATAATCATAGTCAGCAAAACACAACTTCTCCATAGACACACAACATGTTTTGTACAAGAGATTTTTGCCATTACATAATAGTGGTGAACATAGGGAATGCCAGGCTGTTGTTTTGGGGGTACAGAGCATTCTGAGATGTAATTTTGTATTTTTGTATAAGAAATACCTCCATATCATGGACAAGACTGCGTTGTGGGCTGGATCACAGGAGAAAAGCATTCCTCAGCAGAGAGCCAAGGAAAATGAAGGCATGGTTTCCCCTCCACTCATCACACATGCAATACGTGACGCACCTGAAAATGTCCCCCTCACGTTCTTTGTTCAGTGAGTGTCTCCTGAATGTTTTATTTCTAACCTTAGCCTCACACAAATCAACAACTCTTTTACCACAGTATGTGAGGAGTCATTCGCCTCCTCAGTCCTCATCCTCTTCCCGTACATACCAATGTAGTGTAGCCTACATTACATTTTTTGAGGAGTAACATTAGTTCGAACCAAGGGGTTTGGTTCAAACTATGCGTCCCGGCATGCACTTTCACTTTTGAAACAGCTGTTCAGTGGAGTAGCACGCCAGCGAGATCATGCTAATGAAGCATGGGATATTTAAATCCCCGCTTCACTGACTATTTCTAATGCCTACATTTGCTTCCCTAGTTCAAACTAGGGTGCAAGTGTAGACATACCCTTACAAATTACAAAGACAGCCTCCCCACCTTTTGATATTCATAGTAACTCCAAATTAGCCTCTTAATTGACACTTACAATAAGCAATTTCCTCCTTCCTTGTCTCTTTCTCTTCCCCTCGCCCCTACCTTCTATTCTATGTAGCTGATTTGTTTACTTCTTCATTGTATTCCTCTGCTATATAACGGTCATTCCAATTCACTTTCAGAATATGATCTGAAGAAGTGGGTCTGCCCCACAAAAGTTTATCACCTAATAAACTATCTCGTTAGTCTTTAAAGTGCTACATGACTGGTTTTTTTTTTGTTTTACCAAGTTCAGACTAACACAGCTACCTCTCTCTTACTGGGTCTAATATGTATTTACACTTCTTTTTATATATAAGAATTAGATACAATGCTCCTGGCAACTATTTCCCAAGTTATCTGCCAAAACACTAGTGCTTTCAAAAGCCTAAGCAGAAACTGGAAACATGATTAAAGAGCCCCGCCCTGCCATCGGACACCCTTGTAGCTGCAGGAGTTGGGGTTGCATGGAGATGATCCAGTGAGTGACAAGGCAAGGAGAAGTGAGAAGCGAGCAGGAGGAGGGTTTGGGGGAGAAGAGGAAGAGTATGGATGGAACTTTGGGGAACTCATGTCACAAAGGGTGGGGCCAATTACAAGCAACAAAAAAGTGACAACTCACTGAGTTGTAAATAGACTTATTCCCCCATTGGACACACTGACACAGCACAATCGGGTCAGGAAAGGGTCTAACACCTGTCTTACTGTCTAGTAAATAACAAAGATTGGCTCATTGGACACACTGACACAGCACAATCGGGTCAGGAAAGGGTCTAACGCCTGTCTTACTGTCTAGTAAGTAACAAAGATCGGCATGAGAGTGGACTCACCAAGAGAAATTTAGTTCCTTTTATGAGGAAATAGCCTGAACAACTTGTCCCGGATTTGCGTAGTCCTCACCCCATAGATGATGGGGTGTAACATGGGGGCCACAAGAAGATGCACATTAGCAATAAGAATGAGGACATGCAGGGGCACATTGTGATGTAACCGGTGCATGACGGTGGAGAAAACATCTGGGATATAAAAGATTAAGATGGCACAGAGGTGGGAGCTGCAGGTCCCAAAGGTCTTGAGGCGGGTGTCCTTTGTGCGGAGACTGAAGATGACCCTGAGGATCTGGATATAGGACACTGTGATGAAAAACACATCTAGACTACTCACAAAGATTGTCACAGAGAGACCATAGTAACTACTGACACGAATGTCGGCACAGGCCAGAGTTACTACAGAAATGTGCTTGCAATACGAGTGAGCGATGACATGGGTTCTGCAATATGGCCACCACCTCGCCAGAAGGGGATACGGTAGTATAAGCATGCCACCACGCAGCACCACAGCCAGGCCAATCTTGACCACCATGCCATTTGTCAGGACACTGGAATATCTTAGGGGATGGCAGATGGCCATGTAGCGATCAAAAACCATGGCCACAAGGATCCCAGACTCCACCACTGTGAAGCAGTGAATGAAGAACATCTGGGTGAGGCAGGCACTGAAATATATCTCCCTGGCATTGAACCAGAAGATGCCCAGAGTTTTGGGCAGGGTGGATGTAGAGAGGACCAGGTCCGTGAAGGCCAGCATGCAGAGGAAATAGTACATGGGCCTATGTAGGCTCGTGAAGGCCAGCATGCAGAGGAAATAGTACATGGGTCTATGTAGGCTCGACTCTGTCTTCACGATGAAGAGGATGGTAAAGTTCCCCAAGACGGCTATGACATATAGAGTGCAGAAGGGGATAGAGATCCAGACATGGGCCATCTCCAGTCCAGAAATACCCACCAGAATGAAGGTAGAAGGATTGTTTAAGTTGGTTGTGTTGATGTCTGTCATGGAGTAGGGAAGGTGTCCAACTCTAAGGTAGAACAGTGTCTCCTGCATGCAATGTGCATTCCAGTCACTTCCTGTATGTAGCCAGAGTCTTTGGTGACATTTCCCGTACAAATGCCTGGATGGAGAGACAATGAGAACATGAGACATGACATGCACTACCGGAGGCTTTACTCATTGGTATGACGGATTAGTCACTCTTCACACACAGAAAAATATTTTCCTGATTCAAGAAAATTAATTAGGAACCACTGACCATACTACAGCTTATTATATATATAATGGTGCTCCATGCATCAGCAGTTCCAATACATTGTTGTGTGGGAAAATTTAATTGGAACCAGCAGAAAACAGAAATGTGGATACCGGTTATCCATCTCTGTTTCTTATTGCAATGAAATCCACGTGGGAAAATTCATGCAGTAGGGATTTCCATATTCACCTGGTTGCTCAAAATCTGAGAGTGGAAAACAACCAAACCTTTGCGAAGACCTGTGCCAGCGGAAACATCCCAGCTAGAACACACCTCATGGAAGAGGCTTGAGTTTTCTTGCTAGCAGATGAATTTGCAGCAGTGGCCAAAAGGAAGACATTGGGATACCTATGGAGTGGGATGGATAATAGCCTACTCTTGATATGTGTTTATTTTATTTTTTTGGTCACCCAGTTTCTATAAAAAACTAAACAGAGAAACAGATGAAAGCGGAGTTCCTGGATAGTCTATGACATAGGGGAAAACTACCCTATGTAGACTTACTGGAAATTCTCAAATTTTTCTGCTTAGAGAAGAGACAAACAAAGGTACATGTGACAGAAGAGAGGGAAATAAAGATAAGGACGTATTGCATTCAAATGGACAAAGAGAGAACAGTTTCCAATCAGTGGTATCCATAGATATGTAGGGTATGTCTACACTGCAAAGCTATTTCGGGATACCGGAGGTATCCCGAAATAGCTACCCTGCATCGGTAGCAAACGGACCAAAAGTCGAAAGGGCCTGGGATGTTTAATGGCTGTGCAGAGCAGAAAGGAAAACAGACTTACACTCTGCCCCATCCTGCCCATGATGCGCTGGGTTTGTCAAGCAGGCGAGCTCCTCAGAAAGAGAGGGGTACCTGTGAAGTCTGAGGTGGAAGTGTCTTCCTGGTGTATTCCCTTCAGTGTCTTCCTGGTGAATCCCCTTCCTGGTGTATCCCTCTTTAGAGCTCTATGATTCTAAGCCGTGCCCCACACCTTTCTCACTGCATCATCTTCAGCAGCCTCCCACGCCGAGAGCCAACCCAGGTGTGTGCCCTGTGTTTAATATAGCTCTGTGCCGTCTCAGGGGATTTGCTCAAGGTCTAGGTGAGAAGCAGCCTTTGAATGTAAACAGGCTGGAAACAAAGCCTGTGGGTGCTAATAGGATATTGATCCAGCTTTAGGAGTCAACAATGATTAAGGGACCTTCCCAAAGGGAGAGGAGAACTCCCGGCCTCTGGGCTGACTGAGAGGAGTTGGCTGCTCTGGGTATTTCTGTATATTTGAATGTTGTAATTGATTAACAAGAAAATAAAGGATAATGCCTTGATCGCCACCGGTTCGGATTCCCGGTAAATGCACAGGGTAGACAGACAGATCTGGAGGCAGATGGCTGAAGGGAAATCTGAGCACTGATAAGACTGTGAATTTGGAAGTAGAGATCAGTCATTCTCGTCAGCTTGGGAAATGGAACCACAGTATAGCAATGCCTGTTGGGTGACGCCCTTCACTGGGGGTGCGACCTGGAACTAGGGTACCACTGAGCCCTCTAGCATACCTGTCTGGGCTCCCTCTCACACTGTGTGGCTGTGACGAGCTGCGGGCCTCTACAGGTCTGGTGCTTACACAGCCAGAGTCAGGGACATACCCAGCAGCAGTGACATGAAGGCTTTCATTAGCTGCCCATGCACCAATAACAGAATGGTGCCAGTCACTTCCGCCGATGTCCCCTGCCCACAAGCCCAAAGCTGTACATCACGCCCCATTCCGGAGCAGATTTCCTTTTTCATATCAAATAATAAAGTGTTCTTGGAATTCACACCTCCAGATCAGCTGCTAGAAGTGGGCCTCATCCTCCCTGATTGGATCCACCTTGTCATCTCCAGCCGGATTCTGGCCTGCGTAGTTATACCTGCCTCTGGAAATTTCCACTCCATGCATCTGACCAAGTGGGTCTTTGCCCACGAAAGCTTATGCTCCAACGCTTCAGTTAGTCTATAAGGTGCCACAGGACTCCTCGCTGCTTTTGTTTTGAATGAGAAATATAAAACAGATTTTTTAAGCATATGCCGTTCAACTCTAAGGCTACGTCTACACTGGCGGGTTCTTGCGCAAGTACAGCCATCCACACTGCCCGCCCGCTCTTGCGCAAGGAAATGTACAGTACGGCGTGGGAAGAGAGGGCGTCTTGCACAAGAGCTACGCTCTTTCCTAACAGGCGTAAGGTCTCTTGCACAGGCATTCTTGCACAAGAGGGCAATGCGGACACATGGCAAAGGCTTCTTGCGCAAGAACCGGCCTCTGGGAAAAAAACATAGGTGGCCTCTCTGACACGCCGTACGTGCAGGTGGAGGGAAGGGGTGGTGATGGGAGTGGGAAGTAGGGGCACAGGGGCAGCCCTGCAGTCAGAGGTGTAGGTGTGTCTTCCTGTGAGGCCTGGTCCAGCATCACCTGAGGGCTTCCCGGACCCGCACCACGTCGCGGTTGGTCTGCCGGGTGGCAGCCATCTGGGGCTGCTAGTAGGCCTGGCCTTCTCCTGCCATCCACCCCGGGAGGAAGGCCTGGCCCTTCCCCTCAATAATGTTATGCAGCACACAGCATGCTGCGATGATCTCTGGTATGTGCTGCACCCCCATGTCCAGGCGGGTCAGGAGGCACCTGAAGCGTGCCTTCAGCTGCCCAAAGGAGCTCTCCATGGGGTTGCGGGCTCAGTCCAGGTGGGCGTTAAAGGCGGTCTGGCTGCGGTCCAGTCGGCCCGTGTATGGCTGCATCAGCCAGGCCATCAGGGGGTAGGCCGCATCACTCATGATGCAGACTGGCATCCTGGTAGCCCTGATGGTGAAGTCCCACTGGGGGAAGTAGGTGACCATCTGCAGCCTGTGGCACAGGCCCAAATGCACTGTGGCATCGTGTGCCCGGCCGGACCAGCCCCCGTAAATGTCCACGAAGCAGCCCCGGTGGTCCACAAGGGTCTGCAGAACGATGGAGCAGTACCCCTTTCAGTTCATGAAATGGCCCACTCGATGCTCCGGGGCCTGGATGGGCATGTGGGTCCCATCCACGGCTCCCCTGCAGTTCGGGAACCCCAGGGTGGTGAAGCCAGCGATGGTGGCGTTCAGGTCCTGGGGGCGGATGACCCTCTGGAGCAGCACATCGTTGATGGCATGGACGACCTGCAGAGGGGCACATGGGAGCACAGGGGATGCACGGAATGAGACACAGTGGGTACATGGGCCCTTTGGGTGTGCTCGCCCTCCCTTTGATGGGCCCTCCTCCCACACAGGCCAGAGTCCTCTGCCCCTGGGGGTTCCCCCCTGCACCAGCAGGGCTGTTTGCAGGAGGGACAGCATGACCCCCTGGGTGTGGGGCTTCCCCCTGCCCCTACAGCCTCCCCCCGCCCGGTCTGGCCCCTTCCCTCTCCCAGGACGAGCCTGCGGTCCACGGAGGGCCTTACCTGCTAGATGACCACGCCGACAGTGGACCTGCCCACCCCAAACTGGTTCACCACAGAGTGGTAGCTGTCCGGGGTGGCCAGTTTCCACAGGGCAATCGCAACCCTCTTCTCCACTGGGATGGCGGGGTGCAGGCGAGTGTCCTGTCTCTGGAGCGCAGGGGTGAGCCAGGTGCAGAGCTCATTATGCATGTCATGAAATGTCCCCCTCCGCATCCTAAAGTTCTGCACCCAGTGCTGGTCACCCCATTGTCCTAGCACCATGGTGGTGGTGGGGTGGGGCTGCCCGGGTGCAGCTGCAGCATTCATCTGGTCCAGCATGTGCTGTCCAGTCTCCAGTTCCTGCTGGAGCAGTGTGGGTCCCTGCTGAAGGACCTCCACAGCCTCAATGATGGTCGTGAGGGGACATTGCTGGGTGGGGTCCCCCTCTGGCTCCATGGCTGTAACAAGGGCAGCGATGGTGCCCAGGAGTACTTGCCAGGGGCTGAGGTGGGGGACATGGCTGTGGCTCTTGATGCCTCACAGAGGTGCCTCAACACGCAGCCGCAGGGAAATGGCCGTCCAAGGGTCCCTTTAAGCATGTTTCCCAGTGGGGGTCCGGTGCACGCCCACAGATTCCACTGGTGACCTCTTGATATGGCCGAAGTGGTTCTGGGGCCAAGTTCTTGCGCAAGGGCGTCCCGACAGTGTGGACGCTCTCTTGCACAATAGATTTTGCGCAAGTATACTTGCGCAAGAAGCTGCCAGTGTAGACATAGCCCAAGGGTACGTCTGCACAGCAACATTATTTCAATATAACTAGCATTATTTTGAAATACAGCCGCTCCCCGAGTTGCGAACCGTCAAGTTACGACTGTTCGCACTTACGACCAAAGCTCCCATGGAGCGGTCGTAAAGGCGGTCCCCGAGTTATGAACGCGACCCGCGCTTGCGAACAGCACGGTCACATGTAACTCAATGGGGTCCGAGTTACGAACAGATCGAGTTACGGCCAAGTGTTTGGTTTGTAACTCGTTCATAACTTGGAGAGGGGCTGTAACTTAGTCCATGTCTACCTAGCAATACTGTCTAGACGAAATACTGTATAGACGAAATGTCGAAATACTGTCAAACTGGAGGACTGCTTACTCCAACTCCTGTAACCCTCATTCTACAAGAAGTAAGGGGAGTTGGAGGAAAAGTGCTCTATTTCAAAATAAGTGCAGTGTAGACACTCCCAATTTCAAAATAAGCTATTTCGAAATAAGTTACACAATTGACGTAGGTCAGTTTTGCGTCACTTATTTCGAGCTAAGCCCCGCAGTGTAGACGCACCCTAAGTGATTATAAGTATCATGGAATCATAGAACACTAGAACTGGAGGGGACCTCAACAGGTCATCAAATCCAATCCCTGCCCTCACAGAAGGACCAAGCTCCATATATATCCTCCCTAATAGAAGTCAATCCCACCGGCTCTTAAATATCTCCAGTGATGGAGATTCTCCAACCTCCCTAGGCCAGTGGCTCCCAACTTTTTGGAGCATAGGGACCCCTTTTCAAACTATTCATGTTATGGACTCTCCCCTCAACAGTATAGCTGTGCCTGCAGCCTCCATGTTCCTTAGCCCATGCTGCTTCCCGCAGCTCCCATTGGCTAATGGGCCCTTGCCCACTGGTCTTCTACCTCTGTGGCATGTAGCTCAGCCATACAGTCTGCCCTGCCCATCTACCACTGTGATCCTGCTGGTGGCTAGAGGCACGGAGCCTCTCAGCTCCCAGGCTCCATGCTGGCAGCCAGCACATCCCTCAGCTGGCGCTGCTTCCTGATCTGAAAGGCTCCATGCTTCACCTAAGGCTCTGTGTCAGTTAGGGACATCATTCCTACACAGCCTTGCTAATTGCCATTGCATGACCCCTCATTCTTATATTGTGGGAATAAGCAAATAACTTTTCCTTATTCATTTTCTCCATACTCACCATGATTTTATAGACCTCGCTCATATCCCCCATCAGCCTCCTCTTTTCTAAGATGAAAAGTCAGTGTCTTTTTAATTTCTCTTCATATGCCACCCATTCCAAATCCCTAATCATTTTTGTGGCTCTTTTTCTGAACCTTTTCCAATGCCAAGATATCTTTTTTGAACTGGGGCAATCCATCAGCCTCCTCTTTTCTAAGATGAAAAGTCTGTGTCTTTTTAATTTCTCTTCATATGCCATCCATTCCATATCCCTAATCATTTTTGTGGCTCTTTTTCTGAACCTTTTCCAATGCCAAGATATCTTTTTTGAACTGAGGCAATCACATCTGTAGACTGTATTCAAGATGTGGGCATAACAGGGATTTATACAGAGGCAATGAGATATTCTCTGTCTTACTCTCTATCCCTTTTTTAATGATTTCAAACACTCCGTTTGCTTGTTTGACTGCTGCTGTACATTGAATGGATGTTTTCAGAGAACTAGCCACAATGACTCCAAGATCTCTCTCTTGAGTGGCAACAGTTAAATTAGTATCCATCATATTGTATGTATAGTTGGGATTATTTTTTTCAATGTGCATTTATCAACATTACATTTCATTTGCCATTTTGTTGCCCAATCACTTAGTTTGGTGAGATCTTTTCGAAGCTCTTCACAGTCTGCTTTGGACTTAACTAACGTGAGCAATCTGCATTTTTTTTTACTCTCTCTACTTCTTTCTCCAGATCATTTATAAATAGGTTGAATAGGATTGATCCCAGTATGGACTGTTGGGGGACACCACTAACTACCTCCTTCCACTCTGAAAATTTACCATTTATTCCTACTCTTTGTTTCCTGTCTTTAACCAGTTATCAGTCCATGAAATAACTTTCCCTCTTATCCCATGACAACTTACTTTAATTAAGAGTAGTTGGTGAGGGAATTTGTTAAAGGCTTTCTGGAAATCTAAGTACACTATATCCACTGGATCCCCCTTATCCACATGTTTGTTGACCCCTTCTACCTATTGCAACCCGGATCCCTGCTGGCTTTTTATGTAAGCTCCCTGTTGGCTTTTGAAGCAACTCAGCCAGCTCTTGCCAAAGCTGCACACAAAGGCACACCCACTTACTTTAACTTCTTGTTAAAACTACAACAGTCCTGTCTTTGTTAACTAATGCAAGGTAAGAACACATCTATTTTCTCCTAGTGAAGACACACACCTTTGGGGAGCGAAACAAATCTCTGAAGCTGTTTCTCACACTTGAGAAATACTAAAAAGAATCTGACAAATACTGACATCTGTTAGTTCTAATTAACTTTGTTGTATAGACATACCCTAGTAGATTAGTAAGACATGATTTCCCTTTACAGAAACCATGTTGACTTTTCCCCAACAAATTATGTTCATCTATATGTCTGACAATTTTATTCTTTATTATAGTTTCAACTAATTTGCTTGGTACTGATGTCAGACTTACTAGTCTGTAATTGCCAGGATCACCTCTAGAGCCCTTTTAAAATATTGGCATCACATTAGCTATCTTCCAGTCATTAGGTACAGAAGCTGATTTAAAGGATAGCTTACAAACCACAGGTAACTGTTCTGTCATTTCACATTTGACTTCTTTCCTAATAAGCATCCCTGGCCTGAAAGCTGCTCACATCTGAATTTCCATCCCATTCTGCGTGCAGAACTGTTCAGCCAGTACTGGATTGTATAGTACATCCACATGAGTGGTGTTCAGTATTACCCTGCTCTTGTCATTTGAAAATATTTCCTGGTCCTGTGTCTGGAGGCAGCATTCTCATAGGTAGTGCAGATGGCAGGCCATTGCACACCAAAAAGAAAGCCTTTGTCAATTGTTTGACAGAAGGCTCTGCAAGACTCAGTTTGCTCTGAGGGTCAGGTCCTCTGGTATCAGCCGTTCTTTTCCTCACTCTGAAGGGAGACTGTCAAGGTGCAGGTCTCCAGGGTCTATTTTCTGGTCTTCCAGCTGCTCCCAGAGCTGAGGGAATTGTCTGGGAGTCCTGCGAACCTGAGAGTGCTCAGGGACCGTGCAGGGAAATCATAAATGTTGCTGTCAGACATAGGTGATTCTTGCATTGATTC